AATTTTTTTCTTTAAAAACCTATAAACAATTTATATATAAAGTTAGGGATTTTTAACAATGAAAATATTTGCAATACCAATAATAAAAAATCGTACAACATATTATTGTCATCATAAATCAAAAAAAGCAACAACATTAACAAAATTAACAAATTATGCAACAAAAAAATGGGATGCATTGTCAAATGTTGATAAGAAGAGTTTAAAAGGTAGAATTTATATAACGGGACAAAGATTATTGGATAAAATGGATTATCAAGAATATTTTCTTAAAGGTGTTCCTATGAGGGAAGAAAGGGGCGATGATAAAAGTTCAGTAAGTCTTTTATTAGATTAATGATTCTTTTTAAAAATTTCAAAAAAAATAATTCATACCGATTAATTTTCCCTCTCCCTTAGGTGCCTTTATTGTATCCTTCTGACGTAATTACACCCGAACTAACAGTCGATAGCCTTCAACGATTGTTAGAGAGTAGACTACCGTATCATCGAAAATACATGATTTACTCTGCATTATTTGTTCCTTTATCATCCACATTTACGATAGTTCCTATTTTACCTAATATACCATTATTCTATAATCTATTCCGCTTGTACAGTCATTATAAAGGTAAGTGCAGTAAAAAGTCCAAAGATTATTTCATAAATAAGTTTATGAATTAAATACCTTTTCTTTATTTTCTCAAAAAACATTTTGTAGCATATAAAGGAGCACAACATTTGTCTCATGTAATAAATGATAAAAGGCTTGTCCCAACAGAATCAAAGGAATTAAATAGAATTTATAATGGGTTAGATTTAAATGATAGTAATAATGCTATTGATGAACAAAGAATTCATAACATTGCGAAAAAATTCGGTTTAATCGCATTGGAAGTTGATGTTAAAAGAGCAAGACATCAAATTTTAGAAAAAATAAAAAAAGAATCACAACAAGAAAAGGTGATTGATGGTGATGTCTCAAACCTGAATGGTATTCAAAAAACGAATAGTAAAGTTCATAATGGCAAAAAGACTTTAGACAATGAAACTTGATGAGAAATAAATTCACCAATAAATCATTAAACTTTACCATTTATTGGATAAACTCCAAAGTTGTAGAGATGTTGAATATGTAAAATTATAGAATTTTAATTTTCCAAAAAATAATTGGAATCATACAAAATTTTAATTGGTTTGTATGAGTGCTTTTTTTACATTCATTCAATTTATATAAAAAAAGAATTAATGCTGATTTACGCGTCTATCAAAATTTTGTACATCATATCGGGAAAAAAAAATCGTTCTATTGAAGATTAAGATCCACTTTCCTAATCAGAATACTAATAAATTAAAAGCAATCAAATCAAGTTAGATTATGTATGATTGCATAGTAATTGTGCGAAACAATATTCATTCAGTTTATCATGAACGTAAAATATTCTTTTTAAAAAAAGAATGCACAATTTATTTTTAGCTAATATTGGCGTTTATCTAGGAGTAGTCATGCGGAGTAAGTCATGCACGTTCGTACTTCGTCGAAAAAAAGTTTTCTTTATCGAATGTTGTACAAATATGTAGTGTTATATTTTACTGCGGTGTAGGACAAATTTTGTTTTTTGAATATATAAACACAAAAAAAAAAAGAAAATTATTAAAATTGATTTTTAAATTTAAATTTGATGACACAATTTTCTCGATATAGACAACACCACTAAAAAGAAAAAAAAAAGTAATGAAGATACAAAACGTAATTTTAATAACTTCCCTTTTAATACTTCAAGTAAGATACTAGTTTTTTTTTTATTTTTTGAAGAAAAAATTCGTTTAATTATTAAAGTATTATTGTAATTTTTGAATTAGATTATATGTATAACATCACAAAATATAGTTGGCTCGGTAATATTTCCATACAACACTGTAGAAGTCCCACAAAATAACGGAACATGGTTTCTATGTTCAGAAGAACCAACAAAATATGTCAGTAAGTATCAAATTTGTCTAAGATTTAACGTTAATTAGGTCTGAAATTCTAAAAAAAAAAACATAAAAAATCTTTTCTCAAGGCTATAGCGTAAGAGTGGTAGATGGTACATTGCCGTTAACCGAGCCGGAATTTGGTACAAAAAAAGAAGGGTACAATGCACCTCTCCTGACAGCACCACATGAAGGAATAACCGCCCAAATACGTTATACATCATCATTTAGATTTGTACCTTCTTTATCTTGTTATATGAACTTTGTAACATTGTGTGATCAGGATACTGGAAATCATTTAATGAAAGATAACGAATATTATTGTTTGGTCTTGGTTAATCCTGCCCCTGTGGTACAACGTGTAAATGTCACCGTCTCTTTTAATGGTTCAGTGTTTGATAGTGCATTTACGAGTGATTATAAACCTGGTGGAAATTCGGTTTCAAGAACACTTAGTAGAGATTCCTTATTAGAATTTAGTTCAAGTAAAATGCTTTTAGCAATAATTAGTTACCTGTTCATATTTCGATTCGAAATCTTATAAAAAATATATAATTTATATATCTATCTAATTTAAAATACTTGTAATTTTTTTTTTGTTGTCGATGTCGTTGTAATTATTTTATTTAATTTCAAATTATTTTATTTTAAAAAAAAAAATAAAATAAAAAAAAGATTTATTTAAGTTAGAAAACGCGCTATACGAGTTTTCAATAAAAGTTGATTTTAGAGTTTGTTGTAATCGTTTTTAAAAGATCATAATTATACAAACTAAACAAAAGTTTATCTATTATCTCAAAACATAGGCCGCAAAAATTTGTTTTGGAACAACCATGAAAATAAAATGGTTGGATTTAGATACAAAGTGTAAGTTACTAGTAAGAACGTAAGAAAATCTACCACGGAATACAGTTCATCTGAGAAACACACGTATTGCGTTTTTAAATAAAGTTAAAAGGTGTCAATGCTCACAATAAAATTTTTTTTTAATTCGGCGTCCATTTTATGTCGCCATACAATTAATGCCAAGCAACAATATACAGGATATATGTTATAACTAATCAGCAACAGCTTAGATTCTAATTACGATGCTATTCTAGCTAAAAAATAATAAATCATAATTAATATGTTAAAGAATTAAATTTTCATAATATTTCAAGAATAAAAATTTGACTTGCAACTTTATATAAAATTCATTAATAAAAATTGTAGCTATATGTTATCTTTTATTTAAAAAAAATTTTATTTATTCGGGTTTATTATAAATTGCATGTGTAATTACTTTGGTTGGGGACTGTAAATAGCTTAACGCGCAAACCAAAACGGCCTAGATTAGATATATGTCAACCTATTGTGTATTAGGTAGAAACTGGTCAAGATTTAAATCAACCTTTAGCGCATATTGCCAAATCCGATGACATTCTCATTCGATTACAAAACCCATACTCTCTGAAACGGTTGGCAATTAAGGAAGGACAAAATAGGACATATCAACGATTTCCTTTAACTCGGCTTGATTCCATGACTTGTCCCAATGGTAATCTGAAATAGGTATCGGAAAGAATTAACAAATCAATCGATTCAAACCGCTTTTTTGGGGGCGACAAACTTTACTAATTTCGTGAAATTATATTTTGCAATTTTTTTAACATAGCTGATAATGAACTCTTCAATTCTTTTTTTGCGAATGGTAGATAAATCATTATTGCTAAATTTATTAAAACTTTATAATTAACTATATATGAATAATTAAAGAATTAGATAGTAGAGATAAAATAATCAATATTAAAAGAGTGCAAAGATTTCTTATAAGTTAATTCTAAGTAATAGCAAAAAAGAAATAATATAAACATTTAAGAATATCAAGAACAGATCTATTCAGTCTCAATTGACACGTTTATGAAACAAAGTTATTAGTATTAATATTTGTATAAAAGAAAAGAATAAAGAAAGTTATTGTTTATATATAGGTAGGCTTACTTTATTAATTAATAATTAGTTACTGAAATCATTAATAAAAAAATTATTTAAAAGATTAACTTATTATGATTTTTATAAGCAATCAATTAATTTACTAATCTTCTAAATTATCTATCCTATTTTCTTTATCATTATAAAATTTATTTTAATAAGATATTTTCAAATTATTTTTTTAATAAAAATTATATCATAAATTATAACTTTAAACATAACTAAATAAGTATCTCTTGGATTTTTTAACAAGAAAATTTGCCTATAAACTTAAAAAAAAGTATTAATTTTTAATAAAATATTAAATATTAATTTTGATAATATAGTAATTATATGAAATATATTTTTTAATATATAATTTATCAATTTTATTAAAAGAAATTTTAAGTTTATTAAGAAGTTTATTAAATAATTCCAATTTTTAAAATTAAGTTTAAAAATTTATTATAAGAATTTATTAAAATCATATATTTGCAAACTAATTAATCACTTTACTATTAATAAAAGTTATAAATTTCTAAAAATTATAATAATTAAAGTTATTTTCATAATAAATTTTATAATTTTCTATTATAATTAATAAATTTTAACTTATAAATAAGTAACTTTAGATTATTTATTATATAATTAAAAAATAAAAATTACTATAATATAAATATATATTTATAAATTAATTTAAAAAAATAAATTTTAAAAGATTTTAATTTTTATAAAAATAAATTAAAAAAGAATTTATAATAAATAAAGTAAATTTGTTTGCAAATCTTTATAATTTAAAAGATAATAAAGAAATTCTTTCTTATGTATAAGAAATTAGTAAAAAGTTTTAATAAACATATATTATTAAATTTATAATTTAAGTATTATATTAGTAAATCTTTATTAATATTATCTAATTTTATCAATTAATTTTATTTATTATTATAAAAATATAAACTTAATTATATAGAAAATTATTAATACTTATAAAATTTAAAAATATTACAGTTCTTAGTTTTTATTCTTTAATTTACTTAAAATAATATTATAAATAATAAGTTAAATATATATTAAAAGTTAATTAATAATGAGAATAAAATTTTAAGTTTAGATAAGTTATATGATCTTTAATTAAATCTAATTTAATTATTTTAATTATAATAATTAAAGAATCAGATAAAAAAGAATTTATTAAATTTAAAAAATTTAGTTTTTATTAATAATTAGTAATTTAAATTCAAATAAAATTTTATAATTATTTTATAATATTAGTATTAGTATTATATAAAAATTATATGATAACTTTTAAATAATTTGGCTTTTTTTAAAAAAAGTTATATGTTCAATTAAAAAAAAATTTTTTATTATATGAAATAATAAATTTATTTAAAGATTTTAAGAATAATATTAATAGAAAAATTATTTAAGTATTTTTAAAAGTAATGTAAATAATTTATTTTTAATATTTTTTATTTATCTTTAATAAAATAATAAATATAAATATAAAAAGAGATTTTTAAATAATTTGTTAAAATATTTTAAAGTTATATTTTTTTTATTATCTTTATTTTACTAAATAATATGACTAATATATTATTTAAATGAGAAAGAATATTATTTATAAAGAGTATTAATAATTGAATTAATTATATTTATTAATATATTTTTAAAGTTAAATTTAATAATAATAATAATAATATTTTTTTAATTAGCAATTTATAATTAGCTTGCTTTATAATAAATATATATTATAATAAATTTTATAATAAACTGAATTTTTTATGTAAAAACAAATTATAAAAATTTATTATATTAAATTTATTAATTAAATATTATTGTTAATATTAAAAAATGATATTAGAAAATGATTTGCAAAAGTCAATAAATATAATCTATAATATAATAAAAATTTTTGTGTGTAACATGTCACGTTTAGACTATGTGTATAAATTGTTTGTTATATTGTGTTATGCTGATATATTACACGTGTTATTTCGTTTGTGTTATTCAGTTAAAAATTATCTGCTTATTTATTATGTAATGCTCGCGCACATTTTATTGCTACTATTATGTGATGCATTTAACTATATAGCGAATTACACCTTTATGTCTTTTTTCTTGATTTCTTTACTCCTGTTAAGCAACGCGTATTTCTGTAATATTTTCTTTTCTGACTTTACGAAAGTTATATTATTTGTTTTTTGTTTTTTCTCTTTTTTTGTAACTTATGAGTCTTGATTTCTTGATAACCTGTAATTGTATTTACATGATATGTTTAATAAATTATTTTATGATTTTGTTTGGTATAAATTTTTACGTGATTTAAGTTGAAAATTTTACCTTCCTGTTTTCTATGTGTTAATAAGCGTGTTAATGATCAGTATGCATGTGATGCTTATATTCCTTTATAAGAACACAATAATGTTTCTGATTTAAATTCCTTAAGATCCCAATAATGTTTCTGATATACGCTTCTTAGTCTAAAATTCTGATGTCATCTAAACAAGAAACAAGTGAAACGCCTGAAATCCGTCGAAAGAGGTTAGCTAATGAGAGGAAATCCCGTTCCAGAAAAAGACAAAAGAATAGTACTAACTGTGAATTAGAGTGTACTAATAATGGGATAATCCGTCATGAATTAGAGAGAATGAATCAAACTTGCATCAATTGTGATGCTAAGTTTTGGATGGAGGAAAAGAATCAGAATAGCTCTCTTGCATCTCCTGCATTTTCGATTTGCTGTGCCCATGGCAAAGTTCATTTGCCACGTTTGATTGAACCTCCTTCTTATTTGTTGAATCTATATACTTCGTCTGACTCTGATGCAGTCTTTTTTTCGCAAAAACATTAGACGTTATAATAACGTTTTGGCGTATATATCGTTAGGTGCAAATATAGATATGATCCTAGGCCAAGGCATTTCTGATTTCTGTATTCATGGCCAAGTTTATCATCGTATCGGTTCGTTGTTACCAGAAGATGGTCTTCAGCCAGCATTTGCGCAATTATATGTCTATGACTCTGTACATGAAAATGCAAATCGTCATAACGTTATGCCAGATTTGGATGATGTCATTCTACATAATCTA